CCCTGCCGCACGCCGCCCCTACAGACCCTACAGCAAGCCTGCAAAACCTGCTGGCTGCCTCTCCTGGATGGCTTCCAGTCCTCAATTACTTGGACATTTTCCTGCTTTCACACGGAGTCCATTTCCCCTTTTAAACACAAAGGCTTGAAGGCCCCAGAGTCTGCAGGAATTGAAAGCCCCTGACCTGTAGAACTGCAAATTAAAAACCAGGTGTCACACATGCTCCGCGCTGTAGGAAAAGCTCGATTTTTTGGCCAGTCTAATTTCATGAAAACTAGTACTACACGCTCCGCGCTGTGGGAAAAGCTGGATTTCGCCTCAGGTGTAATTTCATCAAAACTGGTACTACACGCTCCGCGCTGGGGAAAAACCACAGTGGATGGGCATTCGTGGCTCGCCGTTCGCGCGGCACCCGGCGTGCACTCTGTGCGTGGCTTTGTGACCGGTGGAAATGGGACATTTTGCCCGCGGTGATTGCAAAGGTGGAGTCGATTGAGAAGGAAGTCAAGGACAGCGTGAGCTGGGTCAGCAGCATCCTGGTAGCTGTGGTCCTCAGAGCATTCAGAGCAATGGGCAGTTTCAGGTGTCATTGTTGAGGACAGAGACTCCAAAGAGCCTTGCTCCTCTGACTTTCCAGAGGGGATTGGCTGTTGATTCTCGCTTGTATCCAAGACCTCTCGGGAGCAATGGTTGGCAATGCAGCGCTCGTGGCGGTACCTTGAGACTGCCACTCAGCAGTTCATGACAAAGTCGTGCATTGGTTGAGATGCTGTCCGCGGCATGGACAAACAGAAGGCCGGTTTTCAGCTCAGATGACATCCAGAAGCAGCTTCCTAATGAAGCCAAATGCTTCCAGCAGGCTTCGGGAATACCTCTGCCTTGTGGGTGTGGTTCACAAGTTCATCGTGTTTAGGTCAACATACTGTGGCGAACCACGATGAAGTCTTTTGCTGAAAATGCCAACATCCTGGATGCTCGGCCCTTGCTGCCAGGACATGATCAAGTGATTCAGGTTGCTGGAAATCGCAGCTCCTGCTTTTCTGGCGTACTAGTGTAAGGTCTCATAGATTGAGAGCCTCCTTGCAAGCTTCACTGACACCAACAAAAGCTGGAATCTCTTGCAAGGATTGAACGACTGCTGGATACAAAGCACTTCGTGTTTCCCCGACCCCCGGGGCTGTGCCAGCTGAGGGCCAGCGGCCAGCTGATCCCTAAAGCACTAAGCCACTAAGCCCTTAAAACAACGTACGCCCTGTAGTGATACGAGTCCGCTACTGCGTGTGGGTCCGCTTCAGCTGCCCGCAGGACGAGCTGATGATCCTTTCCCAGACCAAAGGTCCTACTGCTGCGCAGCACCCAGACTTGGGGACCTGTCAATTGACCTGTTACCAGTCACTTTGAGAGTGCAGAGTGTTCACTTTTCTTTTCTTTTGCAAGCTATTTACAGGATTGGATCGCTATTGCCCAGATGTGCCGAGACATCAGCGCGTCAACATCGCAAATGAGATCACCGAAGCCATGTCCCAGGACAGCTGCAGTGATTGTTGTTGACTTTTGCTTGTCCATGGTTTGGGGACTCCATTTCTTCCATCCTTCTTGGGCTGCTTGGCGTTTTGGGGCGAGAGCCATAGTTCTGTGGAAGGCGAGGTTGTTGAGCACAGCCTGTGAATGTTGTCGAAGGCAAGAAGTCGGAAGCTCAGTTGCCACTGCACGTCTCTACCAGGACAATTGATGACAAATGGTGACGATGCACCGAGGAAAGGCAGCGTCGTGGAGAAGTGGCTGATGGAGGTGCAAGGTGGCACCGGCACGCTTGAGAACCTCGGACACTTGTACTCGCTACTACTCTGTCATGCAACTGATCTTGCTGAGGCTCCATGATCGACGGCCTCACGAACGTGACGGGTGCCTCTTTGTTGCCCTACGCAAAGACAGAGCGTGGGGGCCTCTTCAGGCATGCTCGCAGTGATGCTTGCAGTTTACCGTACGGAAGTTTCAAAGCCGGTATTTAATAATGCTAGGGCTTATCAACTTTCTTCCTCTTGCGCTGAATCTTGTCGTAGCTGAATACTGGTCCGAGGAACTCGATGGGTGCTTGAATGGCCTGGCCAGGCTGGACTCTGTCACATGACTTCATCACGTGGAAGTGCGTCGCGCCCGGCACAGTAGTTTCCATCCTTACTCTTTCCAACCGGAAAGCACGAGAGCTTTGTTGCAGATGTTGTCCTGTGGTTCCATTGAGCATAACATCAAAGCCTTCTGCGGCGCACTCAAGGGAATGGTGGCAAGGCTCCGGACCTGGACCTTAGTATCCTAGAAAGCATGCCGTTGAGGCAGCTGCGGCACCACACATTTTCATGCCGAAGGCATGTCTTGAGCTTGTAGCATCGGCACCGACACCGTTAGAAATGAGCAAATCGCCATCCCAAATAATTTCAATGCGAAGGTGTTCTGCGAGTTCTGCGACAAAGCATCGGATCCTCAGTGGATGTTGCGTGGTCGCAGTCTGGGCTCGCGCTGCTAGAGAAGAGCACCGCCCCCAAAATCAAAAGGCCCGCCCGACATGAACATTCAGGGCAATCTGGTCTAGACAAGAAGTTCTTAGATCGTTTTCAGCACCAAGACTAATTCAGGATGGCCTCTGAGCATTGACAATTCTCCTGGTTTCACCGCTTCATGGAATCACATATTCTTGTGCAAGCCGATCCTTCACAGTCAACCAAGCCGTGACTGTGCAGCTTGCGCTGGGAAGATGGCTCGGGTCATCTTGAGACTCCTATGCAGCTGGCTGCCTGCCGTGCTGTTGATTCGGGTTGGCGCCCAGCAGTATACAGCATTGGACATTGCAACAGGGCAACATGTTTGCGTAATCCTGTCCGACGGCATGCTCAAATGCTGGGGTCCTAACAGCGAGTATCAGTTGGGTTACGGTGACCAAACGGTGCGTTCTGTGATGGGCGATGCTTTGCCAACGGTTGACCTTGGAACTGGCCGCAGTGCCCAGCGACTGCCGGACTCGATGTACCAGACGACCTTTGTGATTCTGGATGATGGATCCCTCATAGGCTTTGGCCAAAACTCGAATCTTTCTTCGCCTTTAGTTAAACTTTAAACTTTTTGGGTTTCCTGATTTAGTAGGAATATTAAAGTTTAACCTGTTTTCCCCTTGGTTATTGGAGAAGTAAGGAATGGGATCGCTGGCGCCGGCGTCAGCACCACGCGAGTGGGCAGCGCCGGAGCGGGGGCCCTTCCGGCGATCAACTTGGGCACTGGCCGAACTGCAAAACGGGTTGCGAGCATCGATTCGCACACATGTGTGATTTTGGACGACGACACCTTGAAATGCTGGGGAGGCACGAATTTTGGAAACCCCACTGGGTCTGGTGATACAACTAACCGAGGTCACACTGCTGCAAGCATGGGTGACAACTTGCCAGTCGTGGATCTAGGAACTGGTCATGTGCCGGCGGAAGTGGTTTGCTCCCGCTATTTCACATGCGTACTTCTCACAAGCGGCAACGTGAAGTGCTTCGGGTTCGGTTCGAATGGAGGATTGGGCCAGGGAGACCTCCTTGACCGAGGAACCTCACCCAGCCACATGGGGGACAACCTGCCTCTAGTGGATTTGGGCACTGGGAGGACCGCACTGCAAATCGGGGGGGGTGAACAAGCCGTGTGTGCTAGGTTGGACGATTCTTCGGTGAAGTGCTGGGGGTGGCAGGTCCATGGCATGCTCGGCTCAGAATCAACGAGCGACTTTGGAGATGCACCTGGCAGTATTGGAGACCACCTGCCAACCGTGAATCTCGGAACGGGTCGCACTGCGAAAGACCTCGCCGTCGGAGAGAAGCACGTTTGCGCCGTCTTAGACGATGATAGCATCAAATGTTGGGGACAAGGTACTGGTGGCGGGTTGGGACAGGGAGATACCGTGCAACGCGGGAAAGCAGCGGGGACGATGGGGGACGACCTGCCTGCTTTCAGCTTGGGCACAGGCCGTACAGTGAAGAAGATGCGACTTGGCTACGAGCTTTTTGGTTGTGCAATCCTTGACGATGACAGTGTGAAGTGCTGGGGGCAAGCCACCAGCAACGCCAGATTGGGGTATGGAGACACGGAAAATCGTGGAGACGCAGCTGGCGAGATGGGCGATAACTTGCCGGTGATCGACCTGGGCATCGCTCCTACCACCACGACGGTCGTGACGACTACCACAACAAGCTCTAGATCAGAGACCGTGACAAGTACATCAACGATGTCGAGCAGTACCACAAGCAGCAGTAGCACAACTAGCGCCACTAGCACAAGTTCCACAACGTCCTCAACGACTGCAACTCGCACCACGGCTACAAGCACCAGCAGCAGCACAAGAACAAGCACAAGCACGACTAGCAGCACAAGCACAAGCACAGGCACAACAAGCAGCACAAGTAGAAGCACAACGTCCTCGACGACTACAACTCGCACCACAACTACAAGCACCAGCAGTAGCACAAGCACAATCACGAGCTCAAGCACGACAAGGAGCACAAGCACAAGCACAGGCACAACAAGCAGCACAAGCACAAGCACAGGCACAACAAGCAGCACAAGCACAAGCACAACGCCCTCGACGACTGCAACTCGCACCACAACTACAAGCACCAGCAGTAGCACAAGCACAATCACGAGCTCAAGCACGACAACGAGCTCAAGCACAAGCACAGGCACAACAAGCAGCACAATCACCAGCGCAACGTCCTCAACGACTGCAACCCACACCACAAGTACAAGCACCAGCAGCAGCACAAGCACAAGCACAAGCACGGCGACCATGAGCAGCACAACTGAGAGCAGTACAACATCCAGCAGTGACGCTAGTACTTCAAGCAGCTCACAGAGCAGCACAAGCACCAGCACTCTTAGCGCTACAAGCTCCACCAGCACTGTTAGCGCTACAAGCTCCACCAAGAGCACAACGAGTCACACATCGGCAACAAGCTCCGCTACCAGCAGCACAGGAACAATTCCAGTCTTGAACGAGCAAGAGTTCGCACAGCTCGAGGAACTCCGCGAACAGCAGGCCACCGAGGCAGTGGAAACCCTTGATGCTGTGGAGGAGGCAGCCGTGAGCCAGACGCTTCAAGTGCTCTCCTCGCAGATTGCAAGTAGCAACTCCACGAATGGTGTTTTGGCGGAAGCATCTGTTGAAACCGTAGCAGGTGTTCTGAAGGTGGTGGCTCTGTCTGCTGCATCCTTGCCAGAAGGCAGCAATGTCAGCATCCAGGGAGAAGAGGGTGCAAGCGTTTCCGTCCCTACAGCTGTTCTCGCCCAAGCTGCTGATGCTGCTGGTTCGGAGGTGGTGTTGCTGAGCTTCACCACACTTTCAGCGAACGTCTCTGACAAGATCAGGAGCGATGACTCCAGGTTAGCCCGACGGCTGGCTGCTGATGCTGCTGGCACGGATACCGGCTCAACGCTGGTTGGTCAGTCCATCAGCATCGAGTTCCGTACGTCAGGTGGATCCAAGCTTGAGATCAAGAACCTCGCTGAGCCCATGGAGTTTCTACTACCAGTGTCTGCAGAGAACGCCACGTGCGCATATTTTGACGAGGAGGCCCTGCGCTGGTCGACTGAAGGTGTAGAGACCATTGCTACGTCCTCTGGCCAAGTCATCTGCCGCACCTCTCACCTGTCGATCTTCGGAGGAGTCCTGGGCTTCGTTTTCGGGAACATTGTGAGCGTGTTGAAATGCAGCACAGCCTCGCAGATTTTCAGTGCTGAGGGTGTGGCCAAATTGGGTCAGCACCAGTGGCTCTCCCACAGCGCATCCATGCTGGTGTTCGCCTGCTTTTTCCTTTTCGCGGCGGGGTTCTGCTTGGCAGTTCGCCTGGACACGAAAGTGAGCAATGCAATTCCCTGGGAGCACAAGGAGCCCCTGCTTCTGCGCACGAAGACCTCAGTCGCTCAAACGCTGGAGCCAGAAGATAACGAGGATGTGGCGGAGAACGCTGAGAATAAGTCTTGCTGCACCCGTATCTGGGAGTTTTTGGAAGCATCCGCGGAATGGCTTCTGTGGGGAATTGGGCTTTTCTTCGGATATGAAAACTTGTCAGAAGTCTTGAAAGAGTTCTTGCCGAACGCCCCAGAGTCCGTCGTAAATCGCTGCATTACCAGCATCCACGCCCACAAAACAGGCACCTCAAGAGACAGCATTGACGGTGTGAAGAAGATGGTCAAATCGATTTCCCGCACCAGGTCTTTTCTCACCGAGACGCCGGAGTCAGGGAACGAGCAAACTGTCTCGGAGAACCCAGAAACAGATGAAGAGAGAAAGAAGCCTTTCTCGCGGATTTTGTCGCGCACTGCTTCTAACCTGAACACACCTGGCATGATGCGCAAGATGAAATCGTTTGATCCTTCTCACAGTGTCCATCTGCTTGAGTATGAGGAAATTCGAGCACGCGGGGAGAAAGCGGTGCAGAGCTTCATCTCGAGCACCATCATGAATCGAATTTTTCTCCTTTTCCCGTCTATCCACCCCTGGCTGGAGACTGCCCGCTTCAGCCTCTTTACCTCGCACGCCACGCGCGCGGCGCTGATCATCACGAAGCTGACGAGTGCAGCAGCCGCGGCGGCGCTTTTCTATTCCAGTAGTTCAGTTTCGCCAGATTCGGATCCAGACTGCCTTCCTCCAACCGATCTGCTGTCCAGTATGATCCAGGCCGCAACCGTGGGGCTCGTCACCGCCTTTGTTGGGGACACGGTCGTCTTCATCTTGTTCATGATACAGACACGGGAGGCCGTTGACAAGCACGAGTGGGATCCCTTGGCCAGGGAGAAGCAGCTGCGCCGGTGGAAGTGGAAGTCCATGGTGTTTTGGGTAATATGGACTTCGCATCTTTGCTTATGCATGTTCTACACCCTCGCCTTCCTTGCAAATGTCAGTTCAGAGGATGCTGCAGCATGGCTCGAAGGCTGCGCCATCAGCCTCCTGCAGGACCTGGTGATTTTTCCCCTGACTGTGGCACTCATCCTCGCCATCTTCGCAAGCCTTGCAATCTGTTGTAGCCAGAAGGTGAAGCAGCGCATTGACAACGACTGGTTTGGAGCGGAGGAGTCCGAAGAGGAGCAGGAGATGGAGGGTGAGAAAGATGGAGCAGAGCAGGAGAATCATAGTTGGCTTCAACCGGAAGACGTCGTGGAAGTCGTGACCCCAGAAGAAGATTTGGTGGTTGAGGTCTCTCTGGGCTTGCCGGGAGACTCGCATGTCACGACGTTCACAGACGCCGGCCTTCGGAAGATTGCTGGGGAAGCCTCACCGGGGGTGTCTAGCACCCCTAGACCGGCTCTGCACGTGGATGAGGGTGATAGTTGCAACTCGATTAGCATTGCGAGGGTGTAGAACAGTGGACGAAGCTTACTTCGGCCTCTGTTGCGCCTACATGGCCCAAGTGTACATGTGCATAAAATCGCACCTCTAAGGGGGCGTGCTTTTCCCCGTTTTCGCGCCCTCCCGAAGGGAAGGAGGCCGCCGCTTTTTGCTCCTTGAGCTTCCTGCCTATCCTGCAAATGGTTTTGCTTCGAAAGTCGAAGCACAGAGCACGCACCTCAGAATCCTTTTTTCTGGTTTCCATCATTTACACATGTTTCCATATGTGCTGGATGGATTCTGTGGCAAACGTCCGTTCTCACGCGAGCGACGGCCCCCAGTTTGTACCACCGAAAGAGGAAATCGAGCAAAACCAGGTGGTCCCTTCCAAACAGCCAGATCAGCCTTTGTGGGACCTGGAGTGTTTTTGGGTCGTGGCCCTTGTGTCGCCGGCTTCAGCTCTGCCATGTCTGCTTTGGCAGCAGACCTCACCAAACGGGTGCGCACTTCGAGGCTCGCTTGGGGAAATGGGGGCCTGAGCGCGGGAAGGCTTTCAAAAGAACTGAAGGCTGCGTGTGCACGAGTAGCGCTTGTTCCGCGTATTCATAGGCTGATTGAGTTTTTGTGAGCTGCTGTGAGCCCCGCAGGCAGGCATGGAGCGTCCAGGGGAGCCACGGGGCCTCCCTTCGACGAGGCGAAGGCGAGCTCATCGGTTTAGGGTTTAGGGTTTAGGGTTTAGGGTTTAGGGTTTAGGGTTCACATTGCTTTTCACGGGTAGTCCTGCGACGAGCTGATGAACAGGATCTTCCGCTCAGCCGCGACACGGGAACGCGTGCGTCACCCTCCATTCGGAAGCCCTCCTCATGTACAAGCTATAAACCCTAAACCCTAAAAGAGTCGCACCCCGAGCCAGGAATGCTGACCAGGGCCGGGCTCGGGCGTACAACTGCTTCGGCAATCCTGCTCGGCCTTGCCGCTTGGACTTCAAGTGCAGCGAGGGCTGGCCGCTCGCACTGGCCTTGTATGGCGTCCCCCATGTCAATGGCAATTCTGTGGGTAAGATGCCTTCGAGTCGCGTGCCTAACGTACTCCGGAAAACGAAGCAAATACCCGCCAGGGCTGTAAATTCTGGACCTTGTATGGGCCAACACGACACCTCAGAAACCCGCAGGAAACCCGAAGGAGCGAAGTAACTGATTGGACTTGCAGAGCCAATCAGCTTTGTACCAGCCCTTTGCTTCCAACTCGCGCCTTTTGTCCCTCGAATCCGCCCGCCAGCCTAAGCAAAACCCCCTGGACGGTAAGAAAAGCGTTTGACACCAAGCCCCAAGCCCTAAAACCCCCCATCTCATGCAGCCTCTTCCGCTCCTCCAGGGCAAGATCCTTGACCTCAGCGTGGGGTTTCGGCCTTAGGTCTTGGGCGGGGCAGTCAGGGAGGATTGACAAAAGAGGTAAGGGGACGCTTAGTTGCTTATGATGTCAGCTCGGTCCCCAAAAGCAGGATGCTGGTTGAACACGCTCGGTCCCCAAAACTTGGGTGCTATTTGAGTACTCGCGGTCCCCAGAAAGCAGGATGCTAGTTGAACACGCTCGGTCCCCAAGACTTGGCTGCTGCTTGAGTACGCTCAAATAGCTCGGGCCAGCGACCAAAATGCTCGCGCCTGGGGGGTTAGCACGTTCTAGAACCTTTTCGCAGAGCAAGCAGAGTTGGGCAAACGGGCGCGGACCTGCGCAGAAAGACACAAGCGCCGACCATGGAAAACATCGAGAAAGCTTGCGCGGATTGGTTTCCGGGCATTTAGGAAACAAAAAAGGTTTACAAAGACGCAAAAACCGTCGTGCCTCGGAGCCTCGCGCCATTGTATGGGGGAGAGGGGCGAAGACTGGCGCGTACTGTTTGGTCATCGGGGCGCAGATGGGGTGCTAGTTGCTGACGATGAAACCCAAACCTGTGCTGGTAACGTAGTCGTGGCTCCATACGGGTTGTGAATATGGTGAATATACCCTGCGACCAGTAAAATGCGTTCCCTGAAAGAGGTGGTTTAAGTACATTGAGATGTTTATCCTTGCGCTGGTAATGTAACCCTGACTCCATAAGGGTTGTAAAAATGCCCCTGGGACCAGCCCTGAAAACTTGTGTTTTAGCATGTTAAAACACCATGGATGTTTCCCCTGCGACCAAATAGCTTGCACCATGGCGTGAGCTATTTGGTCATCAGGGCGCAGATGGGTGCTAGTTGCTTTCGACGTCACCCTACGAGCGCAAAGGGAGGGGACGTGCGAAAAAAACTTCTAGGGCCCTCATCAAACCCTACGAGCACAAAGAAAGACACATACGACAAACCACTAAGGGATATGTTTTTACTTCTGCAATGTTCTGAATCCCAAAGCTTGGGTGCTGTTTGAGTACGCTGGGCCCCCGAAACGCACGATGCTAGTTGAACACACTCGGTCCCCACAACCTGGGTGCTATTTGAGTACGCTCGGTCCCCAAAAAGCAGGATGCCAGTTGAACACGCTCGGTCCCCAAACTTGGGTGCTATTTGAGTATTCTCGGTGCCCAAAAGCAGGATGCTAGTTGAACAGGCTCAATCTTTTCGCACACACAAGGACCAACCAAGACACCTCTCTTCAAACCTCGCACGCTGGGCCCTTCAAGCATGTTATGGTTGCAGGAGTTTCAGGCCTAACTTCTAGGGGCCCTCACCTTGCGAGCACGAAGGGAGGGGACATGCGACAAACTTCTAGGGCCTTCACCAAACCCTAGCACGAAGGGAGCGGGACATCCGTCAAACCTTTAAGGGATATGTTTTTACTTCTACAGTGTTCTGAAAATGAAAACCTTAGAAACAACATAGGATGCTTTTGCGCTTGTATAGAAATTTTCGCAGAGCAGGCAGGATTTCTACCCAATTTTTCTTGTTCTGCGAAAAAGTTTCACAGCCCCGACAATAAGGTGGTTTAAGCATATAGAGATGTTTATCCCTTGTGTGACAGTGTTCTGCAAGTGCAATCGTTAGGAAAATGCGCTTGCACGCCCTATAGAGCCACGATTGCGTTACCAGCACACCAGGGATAAACATCTCTGTTCACTCTTTTCAGGGGTTGTGAAACCTTTTCGCAAAGCAAGAAGAGTTGAGTAAAAAACCCGCCCTAGAAGTTTATCGCATGTCCCCTCCCGTCGTGCTCGTAGGGTGAGGGCCCTAGGGGTTATTTTTCCGCGGGCTTTTTTCGAACCGTTTAAAACTGCAGGCGGGCTACAGGGCCACGATTACGCTACAGCACAGGCTTTCGGGTGCCTAAACGCCTGTAAGTTTTTTTTTGCGCGTCGTTGTTCCACGCGTTTTCCCTTTCTGTACAAACTGTTTGGGGTCTTCGCCGGGATGGCAAAGCCACCCAAAGCCCTGAACATGAACGGTTAGCGCCTCAACCCCTAAGCCTTCACACCCCAAAGCCCTAAAGCCTTCTCACGTCGAAAGACCCTACCGCCATGGCACCCCAAAATCCCGAAAACACCCCAAAACCTTAAACCCTAAGCCCTCCCTCAACCCTCAACCCTCAACCCTCAACCCTCAACCCTCAACCCTCAACCCTCAACCGTAACCCTAAACCCTAAATAAACCCCAAACCCTAAACCCTAAACCCTAAACTCTGAAACCCCCCTAAAAACAAGGGCCTTTAAAGGCCTCCGGCTGCAGGTCTACTGCGACCAGATCCGAGATCTCCTGGCTCCTCGTGACGAGGCGCTGATTGTTAGGCTTTTTGGGTTTAGGGTTTAGGGTTAGGGTTTAGGGTTTAGGGTTTAGGGTTTAGGGTTTAGGGTTTAGGGTTTAGGGTTTAGGGTTTAGGGTTTAGGGTTTAGGGTTTAGGGTTTAGGGTTTAGGGTTTAGGGTTTAGGGTTTAGGGTTTAGGGTTAGGGTTTGGGGTTTTTGGGGTTTAAGGTTTAGGGTTGCTGGGGTTGAGGGCTTCAGAACATCTAGGGTTTTCGCTTTTAGGGCCTACGGGGTTTTGGAGATAGGGTTTTGGTGTCGTCTTTGGTCGCTTGGGGCCTATTGAAACAGAGGGTTTTGGGGCTCTACTATTGTTTTCGGGCTTGGGCTTACCCTCAGCCCTAAGCTTAAACCCTGAATCGGAAACGAAGGTGGCAGTAAAGGGTTTAGGGTTTAGGGCCCAACACATCTTAAAGCCCCTAGACCCTTGTGATCTGCAGGGTCTGGAGCCCTAAGCCCCTTGCCTCCCCTAAACCCTTTGCTTCCACTTCGCAGGCCCTAGCTGGAGCCTCCGACGTGGATGCTCTGCTTGCGCAGGGCTTCGCCAACCGAACCCTGGGCCAGGGACCCAAGGGTTTAGGGTTTTGACAAGATTGAAGCTTGAGCTGTGAGGGCTTTTTGGGTTCATCGGGCTTATCGGGCTTGTGAGGGTTTATGGATAGGGTGATAGGGCACTGGGGCTTACAGATGTGGGCTTTGGACTGAGGAGACGGGACGTCCCAGGGTTTGTGAAGGTTTCGGGGTTTCAAGACCGCGGGCTGAAGGCTTTGGATTTTGTTATTTGTGAGTGTGAGTGGGGGGTAGTAGGTTCTGGGGATTTAGGGTTTGGAGGCTTAAGCCGCACAGCTTAGGGGCTTAACGCTTTCCTGACTCCTCAGCTCAGCCCTAAACCTTCGTAGATCAATGCCAACCAGCAACTCCAGGCAATGGCGGCTCTTCGCGCTCCCATCTTGTCCTCACGGTGAAAGCATGAGCCTCAGGGATCTTGACAGTGCGGCTTCGGGTTTATGGGGTTTAAGTTTCGAGTTCAGGCCTCAGCTTTTAGGCTTTTGGGTGGCATACTCTCCCCTGCACGCATGTCAACCTCCGTTTCATAAAGCCCTAAAATCAACACCCCAGCGTCCCAAGGCCTCCAAAACCCTTCACGCTTGGAACCTTGCACACCGAAGCCCAAGCGATGCTTGCCAACCCCAGCTACCTTGCCAGCCTCCAGCCAAAAGAGTAGGTTTAAGGAGCAGTTCCTCAACCCTCAAGCCCCTCCACCTACCATCCTTAACTAACCCCCCAATCCCTTTCAATCTTGCTACCCTGAGCCCTCAGAGCCAAAAACCCCTAAACGGTCCCCAAGCCAAATCCCAAACCCCGAGCTACACTGAGGCCGTCGAACCAGGGCGCGGCCGCTTGGTCTTTGTGGACCTGGCAGGCTCCAAGAACGCCCGAAGCAGCGGCGCTGACGAGGTCGGCTGAGGTGTTTTCGTGGGGTTTAGTCCGGTTTGGTTTCGCAGTTGGGTGGGGCGGGGGGGGGGGGCTTAGGGTTCGTGGGTTTGTCTGATAGGCAAGGGCTCACGGGCTTCTCGGGTTCAGGGTCCCTAGGGTTTGCTGTTCTTGTTCTTCGGGGCCTGTGGGTGGAGCTCAAGCCTTCATGGTTCCCCGAACTATATTTCCCAAAGCACAATTTTAACACCCTACTCGTGCAATTTAGGGTTCAGGGTTCCGGGTTGGCCCTAAACCCGGTACCATTATGTCAGGATGCCCACTTGCTGGCGGAAGCCAAAGCCATCAATCGGAGTTTGCACGCAGGGGCCTCAGGAGGTGGGGTTCATCGCAGGTATTTCCCATGTGTCGTTCTTCTTAATTAAGTCTGATAGGGGTTTATTTGTTCATGTGAGGTTAGGGGTTCAGGTTTGAGGTGTTATCCCGTGATATGACCCTCAAATGCCCAGACCCGAAACCAGACCCGAAACCACCCCAAACCCTAACTCCGTCAACCTCAATCCTTAAGCGCGAACCATTCAGCATTCATGCGCTACGCCTTAACTCCCAAGACCCTGTAAGCCCCAAAACCATCAGACCCAGATCCCGGTCTCGACGTAATGTTGACCTCCTTTTTTTTAATAACCCCCCCCCCTCCCCGTCTCAATTGATTTTTGTTTCCGGCCGCCCCGCCTATTGGGGGGGGGGCAGGGCTGTTCTTAACAAACCTGCCCCGCACCTTATCTGAGTCGGGCTGTTGAACCCTAAGCCCCACTCTGACAACCTGGACCCTAACTGTTCAAGGCCCGGGCAATCGCTTCAGAAGGGAAATTCTCTATGGACCTCCCCCCCAAAAATGGGCACTGGCCGGGATTTCTTATTATTGAGGGGGGGTTTACAATTGTTCCGGGATCCGAATTCTTTAATTACGGGGGGTTTAGAAAAACCAGGTTAACATTACGTGTGAAGTCTGAAGGGCTAAAGCAAGCCCTAATGCGCCAAGAGGCACTAGCACATTGACAAACGAAGCCCGTGCTCGACACGAGAGCCTCCGAACGAAGGCGCTGGTAGCGGTGCTAGAGGCGACGGCCAACCATCAGCCTGCCAGCCATGTTTTCCTGATCCGAAGGGGTTCGGTTGTGGGTTTGGGCTTTATGAGTTTTGGGGGGGGGCGCCGAGGCCCGAAACCTCTGAAGCTTCAGCGTTTGTGAGATGCTGAGCTCACATTGGAGCTCTCTCGTAGCCAGGAGATTGGTTCCCTATGGCAACTCGCGGTTCACCATGCTGCGCGAACTCCCCGGAGCTTTCACCGTTTGGGCCTTCAAAGGCTTCAAAAGGCTTTGAAAGGCTTTAAAAGGCTTTAAAGTATAGGGCCAGGGTTTAGGGAGTTTAGGGTTTGTTCTTTTGGTTTTACTGCCAGGGGAGCTGCTTAGGGAACAGCCTTAAGGAAATTCATTACTGCAGGCATCCCTCTATCCACTTCAGAGTGCCGGCTGAAAGTAACACCCGCCCTGTTGTCCAGCAGTTCTACAGTGTATTGTTTTTGGGGCGTCCTAAACGTTTGTGGTTAAAGCGTGAGGCTTGGCAATTAGTCTTTCAATTCCCAGCCCCTCGTCCTAGTCATATCTTTTCTGGGGCTGTGGCCTGCGCCCTAAACCTTTAACACCATAAGCCCAACTTTCAAGGTTGGAGGACGCCCTCTGCGCATCGAGAATCCTCCTCCTCGTCCACGTGAGCCCCTTCACCCGGGACGCCGCGGACACAGCCGTGCCCCCAAGCTCCGGACTGCCCCTAAACCTCTGAAGCCCCCAGCCCCTGATTCCTCATGTAAAGCCCTCGTGCCCCACGCATGTAAATCCTAAGCCCCATAAGCGCTGGAGCCAAGCATGAGACCTTACAGGCTAGCTGAGCCCGATATTCTACGCGCCCCAAACCCTGGCCCTAACTTCCCCCAAGGAGCAACGTGTGCCCGTGAGGCCCACTCCTTGGCCTTGGCGAATCGCGTCTGTGCGATGAATTTGGAGGATCGACTGAGGGAGAAGGCACAGCTGCGGTAAGGGCACTCATGTAGGGTTTAGGGGTTAGGGTTAGGGTTTAGGGGTTAGGGTTTAGGGTTTATTCGGGCTTACGGGGTTAGGCACGCTCGATCAGCATCTAGTACAGAAAAACAGTTCTTGAAGGTCTGTGTGAGGTCCCTGTTTAACTTAATATCACTTGTTTTTCCGGTGCCTGTCTAGGGCTTGGCAGCCGGCACGAAGGCAGAGAGCGAGAGAGAGAGAGAGAGAGAGAGAGAGAGAGAGAGAGAGAGAGAGAGAGAGAGAGAGAGAGAGAGAGAGAGAGAGAGAGAGAGACCAGCGCAGTCATCTTCAACCGAGGCAGACCACATATGGCAGGTTGCCTAAGTTGGGGACCCTGTTTGGGGCAGCCCATTATAAGACAGGCCCTTACGAAAAAGGGCACACTACAGTAAACTGTAGAGAGCTCCATCCTCGTCCATGCCCAAAATCCACGTGTACTAGATGCTGATCGAGCGCAACTTCTCAGGAAGCCACGGTGGCGTCCTATTGGTTGCGCCGGCTCGAGGCTTGTACTTGGGGCGGTTGGTGTGGGGGATGTAAGCGGGCCTCATGGTGGACGCAAGGGGCGTGCTTTTGGTTGACGCTTGCTGCGCATGAGGGGGCGGCGTCTGAGTGGGGGGGCGGGGGCTGGGGAGGGTGCGTAAGCTTTGCCTGGTCGCCAGGCACAGCACGGCAAGCGCAAGCAAAAGGAAGCCGTGCTGCAACAGCAGCCCGGGTCTCGATCGGCCGTTTCCGAAACCAGCCGCACACAAGAAAAGCAAGAACACCGTGCCACCGCGAGATTTTTCCAATTTACGTGTTGGGGTGGAGGCGTTAGGATGTAGGTCTTTGTGTTCTTTCCGGTCAGACGATTGAGGGTAAGGTTTATGGCGTGGATTCAGGGTTTCGGGCTGAAAGTTCAGGGTCCCCTCAACGATACCCACAACGATAACCTTAACGATACTCCTTCTCTTGCCATGAGCCATCGCGCTCACACAAGACGGCTTGGGGCTTGTTTGGGCTTGGGAGATGCAGCACTCCGAGCCTTTTCGTCAACAAATGTGGCTCTCAGGCTGGGCCAAGCACGTGCCGAAGAATCCGCGCTCAGGAAGCAGGCGGAGGCGGGACTCTAGAGCTCCTAGAGTTCAAGAACCCGAAGCGTAACCCAAGCCTGATACTAGTATCCCTATAACCTGTAAACCTTGAGCCCTAAGCTGACCTAAACCTGGGTGCTGGAGGATTGCGTGCGCCAAGTAGACGACGTCCTGATGTTGGTGGAGGACCGAATCGTACGTTTAGGGGCAGGACAAAACCAAAAAGAAGGAGTGGTTGTGAGGGACAAATGCCCTAAACCCTGAAACCTAGCCCTTAACCCTAAACCCTGCCTTCAACCCTAAACTCTAAACCGGTTTAGGGTTTAGGGCTTAGGGTAACCCTAAGCCCAAAACTCCTATTTGCGGCACCTGGTATCGGGACACAGGTAGGACCGCCCGAAAACATCGGAACAAAAAACTGGCCATGTTCGAGTAGACTTTAGACCCTCAACCCTAAACTCACACCCTTGACCCTAAACCTTAAACCCTGCACCCCAAGCCCCAGGATTCTGCGCAGAGTGCACAGCCTGTGCCACGAAAAAGCAAGAGACCGTCAAAGGATCCTGCTCAAACCCCCGAGTCCCCAATATCTGGGAAATGCGCACAGAAGCCTCGAAATATGCATCTCGGGACGTGACTTGGGGGAGCGGGCAATGCACCGCGATCGCAGCAAGCAGCCAGAGGCTGTTGCAAGAAGCGCCGGAAGAAGGGAGCTCCAACCCGGTGACGTGCCGCTGGTCGCGAAGCGGACAAGAAATGGGCCGGTTCGACCGCAGGGTGTGATTCGTTAGGCGTGATTTGCTGTTCAAGTCTGCCCGTGGTAACTATTTTTCTTGTCATGTAACCGTTGTGTGGTTGTGAGTGGTTGTGAGTGGTTGTGAGTGGTTTTGAGTGGTTGTGAGTGGTTGTGAGTGGGTGTGAGTGGTTGTGAGTGGTTGTGAGTGGTTGTGAGTGGTTGTGAGTGGTTGCGAGTGGTTGCGAGTGGTTGCGAATGGTTGCGAGTGGTTGCGAGTGGTTGCGAGTGGTTGCGAGTGGTTGTGAGTGGTTGTGAGTGGTTGTGAGTGGTTGTGAGTGGTTGTCAGAGGTTGTGTGGTGGTTGTGTGCATTCGCGCGAAAATATGCGCTTGGACGTGCGCGTGGACGTGCGCGTGGACGTGCGGGTGTGGACTTTTCTCTATTTTTTGTTTCTTTCTTTGCGTTTTGACATTCGTGTGGAATGCGTCAACATGCGCTTTAAACTAGTCCCTTCCCTTATACACCCACGTCCTATTTTGTCATCCTAATTTGAAATATTTTTCCCGTGCACCCAGCCCAACAGTATTAGTACTTAGGGCGAGGGATTACCTGGACGTGCGATGACGTGCGTGTGAACATGCACGTGCAGGTGCGTGTGGACGTTCGCGTGAATGTGCGCACGTGCGCACGAACGTACACCCGTTTGTCCCGAACTCTTTCTCCTTTATATTTCTGCATTTTACTTGAACCTCTTTTGTATCCATAGGTTCACTTTACTTAAAGCTCCACAGACCCTAAGCCTAAACCCCAATTAAACCCTAAACCCCAAACCCTGAACCCTAAACCCTAAAACCTAAACCCTAAATCTTCAACCCTAAACCCTAACAAGTTAAATACAACTTATTTAACTTGCAGCTGTTTTTGGTTTCGGGGCCACCAAAAAAATGTTGGGGACACTGCCTGCGGGTGGGAACCAACGTCATAAAACCCATATCTGAGACGATTTAGAAGTTGAAGGGCGACCCCATACGACATCTACTGCAAGCTTAATGCATGGTAAACCCTAAACCCTAACCCTAAACCCTAGACCCTAAACCCAAAACCCTAAACCCCTCAATCAAGCCCGACTACTCGAAATCCCAAACCGCGATTCAGAAAAATTCGGAATTTTCTGAATTTTTCGTGGTCCTGGTACTAAATACAAGAGGACAAAATTCAGAAAATTCGGAATTTTTCTGAATCTTCTGAATTCTGAACGGGGTGATTTTCTTCTGAGTTTCGGCCTTAACCTTGTATTATTGCAGGGTAGAGTGGGCGCAATGAGGCCTGAAACCCTTAAACCCCAAACCCTAAACTTTGGCTCGTAGGGTTGGGGGTTGATGGGGGGTAGAGGGTTGAGGGATGGAGGGTTGGGGTTTGAGGCTTCTCTGGGTTCGGGGTTGATGGGGTTAATAGGGTTATCCTCTTGATGGGGTTGTGGGTTGAGGCTTAGGGTTGAGGGCTAAGTTGGGGCTGTGAGCCTCATTCCAGTCAACCCTAAACCCTTAATCCTAAACCCTGAATTCGTAACCGTAAACTCCGTAAACCCTATACCCTCAACTCTCCATCAACCCTCACCCCCCAACCCTAAATCCTGAACAGCAGCCCTAAATCCCCAACCCAAAGCCCTAGAAACCACTATTCCTCAGACGAACGAGTAAACTGAATCGCCAAAGCTTCGGCGAACGATGCCAAACGAAAGAAACGATGCATCTATGCCATATCAGACGTATTGCGATCGATGCCAAACGAAAGAAACGAAGCTTCTATGCCATATCTGACAGACATATTGAGATCGATGCCAAACGAAGGAAACGAAGCTTCTATGCTATATCCTCAAACACATGAAAACAAAAAACACCAAAATGTTAGGAATATGTTAGGAAAAGTTAGATAAGTTAGGAAAACACTTACAAAAAGTTAACATAACTTAGCAACTTATGTAACATGTCTTAACCTCTCTTCTCTTGTCTGTTTCAAGTCTTTCCATGTATTTGACCATGTTTCCTCTTGGCGGTCACGCTTTCTTCTCTTGTCTGTTTCAAGTCATTCTATGTCGTTCTCCATATTTCCTCTTGGCGGTCACGCTACGCTTTCTTCTCTTGTTTGTTTCACGTCATAGATTTTCTCCATGTTTCACCTTGGCGGTCACGCCCTTTCTTCTCTTGTCTGTTTCAAGTCATTCTATGTTTGTTTCATGTTTCCTCTTGGCGTTCACCCCCTATCTTCTCTTGTCTGTTTCAAGTCATTCTATGTCTTTCTCCATGTTTCCTCTTGGGCGGTCACGCTTTCTTCTCTTGTCTGTTTCAAGTCATTCTTCTATGTCGTTTTCCATGTTTCCTCTTGGCGGTCACGTTGTCTTTTCTTGTCTGCTTCAGGTCATTCGATGTATTTCTTCATGTTTCCTCTTGGCGGTCAGGCTTTCTTCTCTTGTCTGTTTCAAATCAGTCTATGTCTTCTCCAAGATTCCTCTTGGCGGTCACGCTTCTTCTCTTGTCTGCTTCAAGTCATTCTAGGTCTTTCTCCATGTTTCCTCTTGGCGGTCACGTTTTCTTGTCTTGTCTGCTTCAGGTCAGTCGATGTATTTCTCCATGTTTCCTCTTGGCGGTCACGCTTGCTTCTCTTGTCTGTTTCAGGTCAGTCTACGTCTTTATGCTTTCTTCTCTTGTCTGTTTCAGGTCATTCGATGACTTTCTCCATGTTTCTTCTTGGCGGTCACGCTTTCTTCTCTTGTCTGTTTCAAGTCATTCTATGTTTTTTTCATGTTTCCTCTTGGCGGTCACCCCCTATCTTCTCTTGTCTGTTTCAAGTCATTCTATGTCTTTCTCCATGTTTCCTCTTGGGCGGTCACGTTTTCTTGTCTTGTCTGTTTCAAGTCTTTCTATGTCGTTTTCCATGTTTCCTCTTGGCGGTCACGCTTTCTTCTCTTGTCTGTTCAAGTTTTCCCATGTCTTCTTAATGTTTCCTCTTGGCGGTCAAGCTTTCTTCGCTTGTCTGCTTCAAGTCATTGTACGTCTTTCTCCATGTTTCCTCTTGGCGGTCACGCTTTCTTCTCTTGACTGTTTCAAGTCTTTCGATGTCGTTCTCCATGTTTCCTCTTGGCGGTCACGCTTTCTTCTCTTGTCTGTTTCAAGTCATTCTATGTTTTTCTCCATGTTTCCTCTTAGCGGTCACGCTTTCTTCTCTCGTTTGTTTCAAGTTATTCTAGGTCTTTCTCCATGTTTCCTCTTGGCGGTCACGCTTTCTTCTCTGGTCTGCTTCAATTCATTCTATGTCTTTCTCCATGTTTCCTCTTGGCGGTCACGCCCTTTCTTCTCTTGTCTGTTTCAAGTCATTCTATGTTTTTTTCATGTTTCCTCTTGGCGGTCACCCCCTATCTTCTCTTGTCTGTTTCAAGTCATTCTATGTCTTTCTCCATGTTTCCTCTTGGGCGGTCACGTTTTCTTGTCTTGTCTGTTTCAAGTCTTTCTATGTCGTTTTCCATGTTTCCTCTTGGCGGTCACGCTTTCTTCTTTTGTCTGTTCAAGTTTTCCCATGTCTTCTTAATGTTTCCTCTTGGCGGTCAAGCTTTCTTCGCTTGTCTGCTTCAAGTCATTTTACGTCTTTCTCCATGTTTCCTCTTGGCGGTCACGCTTTCTTCTCTTGACTGTTTCAAGTCTTTCGATGTCGTTCTCCATGTTTCCTCTTGGCGGTCACGCTTTCTTCTCTTGTCTGTTTCAAGTCATTCTATGTCTTTCTCCATGTTTCCTCTTGGCGGTCACGATTTCTGTTGTCTGTTTCAAGTCATTCAAGGTCTTTCTCCATGTTTCCTCTTGGCGGTCACGCCCTTTCTTCTCTTGTCTGTTTCAAGTCTTTCTATGTCGTTTTCCAAGTTTCCTCTTGGCGGTCACGCTTTCTTCTCGTGTCTGCTTCAAGTCTTTCCATGTCTTTCTCCATGTTTCCTCTTGATGGTCACGCTTTCTTCTCTTCTCTGTTCAAGTCTTTCCATGTCGTTCTTCATGTTCCCTCTTGGTGGTCATGCTTTCTTCTCTTGTCTGCTTCAAGTCATTCTATATCTTTCTCCATGTTTCCTCTTGGCGGTCACGCTTTCTTCTCTTGTCTGCCTCACGTCATTCTATGTATTTCTCCATGTTTCCTCTTGGCTGGCCCGGCTGCCGAGGCGGCGCGCGCAAGCGCTTACAATTAACATCCTATGTCGCGGAGCGTTTGCTCTGAGGACCATGCGCGCCCACCTTCCCCGCCATCGCCTGCCCAAGACAGCGGATGCTGCTTCTCTAATGTCAGATCCTGAATATGGATGCCACGGCAGCTCCTTGAAACTGCTTCTCCCGTCCACAGTCGAAGAAGCTAAGAGGCTTTGCGAATTTTAGAATCCCAAGGTGTCTGCCGCCAGTGCTCCGAGCGAATCAGTGATAGACATGGTTTGCAGCTTACGGTGCAGGCTTTGCTGTTGCGTTTAGGACGGCAGGACATCGAACTGATGCGGCAGCCATTCATTTAACTGCCTTCGATCAGTGCGAACCCGTTGCTTCGCAAGCCATGGACCGTCTTCTGGGAGCAGCTGAAGTGTCCTGGGCTCTACTGCATCCTCCAGCAAACCAACCTGGTGGCGACTCCACCTCACGCGGGAACAGACACTTGGGGCTCAAAAAGGCCACAGGATGGACCTGCAGAGATCTGTGAGAGATGGACAACTGAATAATTGTGAATAGCTGCTCGCCACTTCAGATTTTTAACGTAAGGAAGCGGCTGAGTGTACTTCTTCTCATCGTCCGAGTGTACTACTCACTTCGACCTGAATTGCCTCCTTGCAGGCGGGC